AAATGTTGTAACCAAAGGTGCATAAGAATATGAAACCATAATAGGAGATGTGAATTTTTTATTAGACCAGGCTTGTCTCCTCTTTACTTTGTAGATTAGACAGTGTTGTTGGGCCCGTAGGGTTTATTGCAGGTCCTGTTTCGATAATCTAAACAGTTCAATGCGTAGAGCTCGTCGAGTACTTTATCTTATACAAAATCATATTAATCGGATATTAAAGTGATTTGATCATATTTTTATCAACAATTTCTTTTGAAAATTATATTTACTGTTGATAGAAATCTGATTTGATCAAATAGCTATCGATATCTAATTAAGGTATTTTTTACAAAAATAAAGTATTTAACGAATTCTACACATCGAACGATTCAGATTATCGAAACAGGATCCATGATAGATCCCCACGGATCCAACAAAATATTCTAATCTAATTTCAAACTGCAGAGAAGCTTGGCCATTTTTTATTTTATTTTACAACTATAAAATGTGGTTATCAATTCAAGTCTTGTGTTTTTTTTTTATAAATAAAATGAGGTTATCAATTAAAGTGAATTTATTTTTGTAAGACTATTTGCAAAGATGGTTAAAAACTATTTTTCAACTTTTTAATTCATTTTAAATCCTGTTTTCCCTTATAATTTGTAAATATTTTTTCAAAAAAAATTTAAAAATCAATTTTTAATCATATTCTCAAAACAATCAACCTATCCTACGCATTTTTCACGTGTCCCACGCCCTTCCCTGATCCTATTCACATAAAAAATTTCTCCTACGCTTAGTGCTCTGTCTGAAAAATTTATAATTCGTTACCGATTGTCATTTATTATATCTTTTTATATATGTCAAATCCCTAAACACAAATCGGCCTGGTTTATCCAAATCTAAAAAAGCTAAAAAATTAAAAAATTAGTATCTTATTTAAGTTATATCATCTTATTTAAATCACATCACATCACATCACTTCAAACTCAATCTATACCTAATTCATATTTCATAAAATGTTAAAAAATACACTTATTTAGATCATCCTAAATCACCCGTTAATAATTCACCTTTTTCATACTCGTCGTGCGTTGTACATCGTACTCGTCAAACCACCACCACTTAAAACACATAACTATCTCTGGTTTGCCATTGCCAATAAACATATCGTACGTTAAACTTGCAAACACAACACAACAAAGCATTACAATGCTTTCCCTCTCTCCCATCTCTCTGATTTTTCTTCCAAAACCCTCTCTCTCTCTCTCTCTCTCGGCTTAATCGCCATGACTGTTCAATCCTCAGAAACTTGTGTTGGGCCCGTAGGATTTATCATAGGTCCTGTTTCGATAATCCGAACAGTTCAATGTATAGAGGTTGTCGAGTACTTTATCTTATAAAAAATCACATTAATCGGATATCAATAGTTACATGATTTGATCATATTTTTGTCAACAATTTCTTTTGAAAATTATATTTACCGTTGATAGAAATCTGATTTGATCAAATAGTTATCTGTAGCAACCCTCACCTTACTCCGAACAGTTCAATGTATAGAGGTTGTCAAGTACTTTATCTTATAAAAAATCACATTAATCGGATATCAATAGTTACATGATTTGATCATATTTTTGTCAACAATTTCTTTTGAAAATTATATTTACCGTTGATAGAAATCTGATTTGATCAAATAGCTATCTGTAACAACCCTCACCTTACTCTTGTCATACTTGCATACATTCATGCATGATCTTGTCTTGTTATGTTGTTTTGCAAGTCTTGCCTTGCCTTGTTTTGTTTAAGTATTGCTTGCATGATTTTGTTCATTGCTTGTGTGTAGCCGAGGTCATCTTGAGCTTGGTTCACCTCTGAACCTTTGTACTTAGAACTGTTTTAGAACCACTTGGTCGACTCCCATCTTCACCCCAGGTATGTTTGCCGAGATGTTTTGCACTTAGTGATCTTTGTCCTTGGGCAGGAATGGCTTAGACCGAGGTGTGACACACCCAGGCCAAGGTGTGGCACAGCTTAGTCAAGTGTCGTCCTCCCTAGCCGATGTCTTTGTTACCCTGTTCTGGATCCTTGTTTTGAGCCGATGTCATCTTGTTGCCGATGTGTCTTACCCGAGCTTGCTGCATAAGCTTTGTCAGAGACTTGTCTTGTCCATCAATCACCTTTTTGGAGCTGAACCAACCCGATAACGCCACGTGTCCGAGCTAATTGTTAAGACAGCCGGCAGACCTTGAAACAAATCATTTTTCTTGTCTCAAATCTTGCCCTCAGAGAGAGAAGCTCTAGAGAAAGGAGGGAGAAGTTCTTGAGTGAGAGTAAGTCTTCCAAGCTTGATTTTCGTGGTTTGATCCGTTGGATCCGAGTTTTGAGGTAAGAACCTTGACCTACTTTGATTATTGATATTGATCATCTAGCTGCATTGCATGATCGGTTTTGTTTTGCATGCCATGCATCGTTTTGAAGTTGGTTTTAAAAGAGAAAAATGGTTTTTCATGTGTTCTTGAACAAAGTCCCATTTTGATCGAAGAGTTTGAAACGAAAATCATGTTTTGTGTTCGTTCTTGCATGACCTTCTTGAATGGGTAGTTTGGAACAAGAACCATGTTTTGTGTTTGTTCTTTCATGATCTTCTTGTATGGGTACCCAGGTCCATGTTTTGAACTCATGGCATGAAATCTCAGATTTTCGTAACAAGTTATGATCCTTGAATTCATCTTCTTCATGATCATGTTCATGCCGTTCTTCAAATTCTTCAAAGGGAAACCCAGGTTTTCCCGACTTTCCTTTTGAATGAGGCCATTGGGACCACACCTCAGCAAGGGGGTGTGGGACCTCGGCAAAGACCTGGTTGGTACCCAGTGTGTTTTCATGAGACGGGAGCAGTGTTTAAACTCCCAGCATGTTTTGCTTTGTCATTGACTTGGATCTGGTGAGAATGCCGGGATTATTTGCATGCATATAAAGCTTGTTTTGAGAATGTGGTTGCCATGTGATTGTAGGTCCTTGATCTTTGCTTTGAGCCTACACTCGAGGAGATCTAGGTGAGTGGTATTTTTAATAAAGACTATGTTATACTGTTTTGATAAATCTTGCTTTGCTTTGTTTTGATGAAAGTATTTGTTAAGCATGAATGAATAGCTCTGTTTTGATGTATCAAGTATAAGCTTTGTTTTGATGTCATCCTTAAAAAGTCCCTTGTGCTGGAGGACTCTAAACTTTTGCAGCACTAAGTATAAAAGGATACGGTCCTTTCTTGGAAAGACTATCGTGTTAAAGCGGGCTACGGGCCTAAGTAACACAAGACTATCGTGTTAAAGCGGGCTACGGGCCTAAGTAACACAAGACCATCGTGTTAAAAAGAGCTACGGGCTTAAGTAACACAAGTCCCTTTGTGCTGGAGGACTATAAACTTTCGCAGTACCTTTGACTAATCGATTACGGATCGTGCAGTCTTGTTTTGCCACTGATGGTTACCGCGTGGACTCGTTTGTTCGGAAAGCTTGATTTGCGTTTTGCCGATGCCAGTAAGCATCCCTTGAGACTTGTAAGACTTGATAGATGAATACGGTTCATATCTTGTTTTGATAAAGTTTTCATGCGTTTTTGCTCTAAAAGGATCTCGGCTAATATTTGTATGGGCTTGGCATGTTTTGTTTGGAAAAGACTTCGGCTATATTCATGCAAAACCTTTATTACTAGTACCATTCACTGAGTATCCAAGCTCACCCTCTCTATATATATGTAGGTGATGAGCAGGACGGCGGCGACGCCTAGATGTGTTTTGCAAAGCTTGTTTTGGATTCTTGTCATGTCGGCTTGACCTGTTCTATGTCGGAAAGATTTGTATTCACGTCGGCGATGTCATTCTTTTTATGTCGGCAATTCTTGAAAATTATGCTTCTTGGCTTGTATTCACTGTATTTTGTATATGTCGGCTTGAGAAGCCTTTTGATTAAGATGTAATACGTATTTTACTTTGTTGTATTCAAGTTTGTAAAGTTATGTAAAGATGTATGCCATTCCATTTGACCTATGCACTGCTCTTATGGACCATTGGTTTTTTGATTTATCGTTTCCGTATCTGTGAGCCCCATATACTATACTTTGTTTGTGTTAAACTTTTGAAAGTTGGCCTTCGGTAATCTCGGATTACTGGCCATCACGGCACCAAACTACTAGGGGCGGTTTGGGGTCGTGACACTATCGATATCTAATCAAGGTATTTTTTACAAAAATAAAGTATTTAACGAATTCTACACATTGAACAGTTCGGATTATCGAAACAGGATCCATGATAGATCTCCACAGTCCAACAAAATATTCTAATATAATTTCAAACTGCAGAGAAGCTTGGCCATTTTTTATTTTATTTTATAACTATAAAATGAGGTTATCAATTGAAGTCTTGTTTTTTTATTTTATTTTATTTATTTTTATTTTAATAAAAAAGGGTTATCAATTAAAGTGAATTTATTTTTGTAAGACTATTTGGAGAAGATAGTTAAAAACTATTTTTCAACTTTTAAATTCATTTTAAATCATATTATCCCTTATAATTTGTAAATATTTTTTCAAAAAAAAATTTAAAAATCAATTTTTAACCATATTCTCAAAACAATCCACCTATTCTACGCATTTTTAATGTGTCCCACGCCCTTCCTTGATCCTATTCACATAAAAAATTTCTCGTGCTCTTAGTGCTCTGCTTGAAGAATTTATAATTCGTTACCGACCGTCATTTATTATATCTTTTTATATATTTCAAATCCCTAAACAAAAAGTGGCCTGGTTTATTCTAATCTAAAAAAGTTAAAAAATTAAAAAGTTATTATCCTATTTAAATTATATCATCTTATTTAAATCATATCACATCATTTCAAACTCAATCCATATTCAATTCATATTTCATAAAAAATTAAAAAATACACTTATTTAAATCATCGTAAATCACCCCTTATTAATTCACCCTTTTCATACTCGCCTTTTTCATACTCGTCGTACGTCGTACATCGTACTCGTCAAACCACCACCACTCAAATACTGTATCATAACTATCTCTGGTTTGCCATTGCCAATAAACATGTCGTACGTTAAACTTGCGTACACAACACAACGAAGCATTACAATACTTTCCCCCTTTCCCATCTCTCTGATTTTTCTTCCAAAACCCTCTCTCTCTCTCTCTGCTCAATCGCCATGACTGTTCGATCCTCAGAAACTCAAGGTCTGTGTTCGTCTCTCTCTGTCTCTGTAAATATTCAATTTTCTATCTATACAGATATGCGTATGCAATTTTCTCTTGGTAATTTAGATTGTTTTTTCTTCTGATTTCTGCTGAAGATTGGTCGGATAGTTGGATTAGTTGAGAGTTGACAGTCTACGAGTTAAATCTTCAATAAAAATTGGATTGGAATTTGGAACCAGTAGAATCCAAATCTACAGGAGTCACGTGACTGATTAATTACTTAAATACGTGAGTTCAAATTAATGGAGACATCAATCCCTCTCAAAAGCAACAGCTTAAACTATTAGATGTTGTTTGGTTTATTATAAAATTAGCGGATGTCCCTACTTGAAGCCACGATATAAATAATATTAAGATTTGAATATAATTGTAATCTTAATATTATTTAAATTTATTTTTTTAATTTGATAAATTCACAAATTTATTATAAAATTTTAGGTTGTGTTTGGTAGAGTTTTGTAAATATGATTTGAGAGTATGAGTTATATTTTGAGTTTGTGAGTTGTGGAATTATGATTTAAGTGTAGAAAATTTGTTTGGTTATGATTTTTGAATAGAGTGTTGAATTGAATTTTAAATTGTTTGTGGAATTGAGTTTTGAAAGTTTGATTTGACATGTGAAGTAAGAAAATTTGTTTAGTTATGAGTTTTGGAAAGAGTTTTTAAAACTTAATTCAAATTGTTATAACTCATAACAAAACACACTAGTTTCACACTATTGAAAATTCTGATCAACACTTATAACCAAACTCTTTTTAAAATTCTATTAAAAAAATTTATTATTAACAGAAAATAACATTAATCCATTTTTAATTGAAAATACTACAAAGGAAATAATTTTTTTTCAAAATAAATATTCAAAAAAATTTAAATCATAAATATTTAAATAATTTAAATAATCTAAAAAATTTAATAAGTAAAAATTAAAATAAATATTCAAAAAATTAAATCGTAAAAATTTAAATAATTTAAATATTAAATAAAAATTTAATTTAAAATTTTAATTTTTAAATTTAAAAACAACTCTACACTCAAATTGTAACTAAACACATAAAACAAAACTCAATTAAGAAATTATTTTTAAAACTCATAACCAAACACATAACTCAAACTCTATACTACTTTCACAACTCTATACTCAAATCGTACCCAAATACAGAAAAAAAAAATTAAAATATTTAAAAATATTTTTATAAAATAGAGTTTGAATTTATTTTTATAATATATTTTAAAATTTAAAAAATTAAAATCGTAATATTTAAAAATTAAAATAATTAAAAATATTAAAAAATTTAAAAAATTGCAACATATTTAAATATTAAAATATTTAAAAAATTAAAATATTGATTTGAATTGACTTTTCAAAAGAGTTTTGAATTATGTGTTTGGTTATGAGTTTTGAAAAATAATGATTATATTTTGAATTGAGTTTTGAGAAATAAGTGTAGAATTATGATTTGAAATCTCAAAACAAACACCACACTCAAATCAATGGGTGAGACTATAATTTGAGAGGCTTACCAAACGGAGCCTTAGAGTTCTCATAAAACTCCTCACGAAAACTAGTTTTTACTTATACAATATATAGCTAGATAGATAGATGTACCTAGCATACGTAGAATTTTTACGGGCATACATACAATAATGCTTTTGCTTATATAATTATATGAAAATTGTATGTATGTTCATAATGTCCTAGTGTATTACGGGCATACATACATTGTATAGAAATATGTGTAAAATATATTGAACAAAAAGGAGAAAATAGAACAATAAACAAATATAGAGAAAAATAAAAATGGGAGAATAAAAAAATAAAATGAAAAGAGGGAGGAAGGTGGGATCATGGGATCATGGGTGAGAAAAAGAAGCGGGAAAATAGAAAATGTACATGTAAGACATTTTTTGAAAAACATATCTCAAACATTGTTTTATAATTTAAATAGATCTAAGCCATCCAAATGTCATAGTAGGACAAAAATATGTTGAACATTCAAAAATTGTCATGTTTTATTAAAATATGTTGAAGATTCATTTGACACCTAATATTTAAAAATAATAATTAATTGTTCAAATTCATTTAATTTGTGGACTATAAAATTCATTAATTTAATCTCTACTAAACAGAGTAAAATCTGGCTCTTAATTCTGAGATCGTAGACTTTTCCATATAATATGAATAAAAAAAAAGTGAACAAAAAGGAGAAAACAAAAAAATAAAAAAACAAATAGAGAAAAAAATAAAAATGGAAGAAAATAAAAAAATAAAAAGAAAGAAGAGAGGAAGGTGGGATCATGAGATCATAGAAGGATGGGTAAGAAAAAGAAAAAAGTAAAAAAGAGAGAAGCGGGAAAATAGAAAATGTACATGTAGGATATTTTTTGAAAAATATATCTCAGTCGTTGTTTTATAAATTGAATAGATCTGAGTCGTTCAAATGTCCTAGTAGGACAAATGTGTGTAGAACAAATTCAAAAATTATTCTGCTTTATTATATAGATGTTGAAGATTCATTTGACATCTAAGTTTATGAAGTCTATCATGTATTCAATATATTTAAAAATAATAATTAATTGTTCAAATTCATTTAATTTGTGGACTATAAAATTCATTAATTTAATCTCCACTAAACAGAGTAAAATCTTGTTCTTAATTCTGGGATCGCAGATTTTTCCATGTAATATGAATAAAAAATAAGTGAACAAAAAGGAGAAAATAAATAAAACAAATGGAGAGAAAAATAAAAATGGGAGAAAATAAAAAAAAAGAAAAAAGAAAAAAGTGAGGAAGGTGGGATCATGAAATCATAGAAGGATGTGTGAGAAAATAAAAAAGTAAGAGAGAGAAGAAGGAAAATAGAAAATGTATATGTATGATATTTTTTGAAAAATATATCTCAGCCGTTGTTTTATAAATTGTATAGATTTAAGTCGTTCAAATGTCCTAATAAGACAAATGTGTGTGGGACAAATTCAAAAACCATCCTGGTTTATTATATAGATGTTGAAGATTCATTTGAGATCTAAATTTATGAAGTCTATCATGCATTCAATATATTTAAAAATAATAATTAATTGTTCAAATTCATTTAATTTGTAGACTATAAAATTCATTAATTTAATATCTACTAAACAGAGTAAAATCTGGTTCTTAATTCTGGGATCGCAAACTTTTCCATATAATATAAATAAAAAATAAGTCAACAAAAAGGAAAAAATAAAAAAAATACAAATAGAGAGCAAAATAAAAATGGAAGAAAATAAAAAAATAAAAATAAAAGAGAGAGGAAGGTGGGATCATGAAATCATAAAAGGATGGGTGAGAAAAGGAAAAAGTAAGAGAGAGAATTGGAAAAATAGAAAATGTACAAGTAGGATATTTTTTGAAAAATATATCTCAATCGTTGTTTTATAAATTAAATAGATCTCTTCGTAAGACAAATATGTGTAGGACAAATTTAAAAACCATCATTCTTTATTATATAGATATTAAACGTGTTTATGTTTATTTTTAATAAAAATAAGGACAATATGCATGTGTATATATATATATTTTTTTTGAAAGCAATGAAAGTGTGGAGGCGCTGAGAGGTGTTTTGTCAATGATCGCAAATGGTGATTGGAAGTGGTTGTCAGCTGCGTGCCGTAGAGGTGGTGATGAGAGGTTGTTGCCGGTGTGGTAGCCGAAAGTGAGTGCCAATGTTCTGAGATGGTTAAGTGATGGCTGGAGGTTGTTTCCGGCAAGAGGTGGTAGCCGGAGGTGGTCAGCAGCAATGGTGGCCGGAGGTGGCGGTGGTCAGTGGTGGTGATTAGCGATGGTGGTGGTGGGTGGTGAGGAACGAATTTATTTATTTATTTTTATGAAGTGAAACTAACTTTCTTATAGTTACAAAATTTTGTAGCTAGCTAGATAGTGAAATTGTCTTCTACTTTATTGTGATTTGGCCGTTCATCTAATTGAGAGACTTGGCTTCAATGAACGCAGATGAGCAATACAACAAGCCAAAGAGCTCTTATTTCAACTTACCGGCATTGGATGTTTCTCTTGCATTCCCCCAAGCAACTCCGGCTTCTCTCTTTCCTCCTTGCAGTAAGATTGATAAAATTTTATTCTTCTAGGGCATGTTTGATTGGAAGGATTAAAGCATGGGATTGGGATTATTAATCAGTGGGCCCAATCATCCTATGTTTGTTTTGACATTTTGATTTAGGATTATTAATCTAATGGATAATTAATCCAACAAATTTGTAGGATTATTAGTAATGGGGTAGGGGTGGGATAGTTAATACCACACTAATTTGATAGGATTATTAATACCTCACTATTAGTGTTGTGAATCAAACATACTCCTAGAGATTTGTGGTATGTCTTTGTTTTGTTTGAGGTTGGATGTGCTTTTTTTCAATTTTTTATGCATATATACATACATATATTGATATCATACATGATGTTTCCTACTGAAATACATGCAGAGCTTCTGCCTTGTGTTGCCAACTGTTTGCTTTCAACATCAAAACATATTTGCTTCCTGCCTGAAAACTAAAAGTTGTTTATTGGGTTCCTAACAAATGCCACAGTCCTTGTACTAATTACGGAGAACTCTTATAATTACAGCTTCGGACTATTATCAGTTTGATGACTTATTGACTCCTGAGGAACAGTCCATCAGGATGAAAGTAAGAGAGTACATGGAAAAAGAAATAGCACCAATAATGGCAAAGGTACTTTCTCTTTATATGCTCAACTTGCCTGCAGATGTCATATAACTTGATTGGTTTGTCTGATAGATAAATGGCGGAGCAAATTTTTTATTCATTTTCATTTCCTCCTGTGTATGTTAAGAGAGTTACACATGACGACGAGTACAATTAAGATTCAATTGTAATGGTAGCTATGCTTAGGGCCCTCTATTTTATTATTTTAGAGTCTTGCCGATACAAAATTCTCTCTTTCTCACTTTTTCAGTACTGGGAAAAGGCAGAGTTTCCATTTCATGTTGTTCCAAAGCTTGGTGCCCTAGGCATTGCAGGTGGCACAATTAAGGTAGTTTATGTATTTTGCTTTGATCTCTCTTTTTGAGCTTGTTATAGAGGTAGGTGGAAAGTTCAATTGATTTTTTTCTTCCAGGGCTATGGGTGTCCAGGTCTCTCCATTACTGCAAGTGCAATCACCGTGGCAGAACTTGCCAGAGTTGATGCAAGCTGCTCTACTTTTGTCTTGGTGCATTCTGCTTTGGCAATGCTCACCATCGGTAAATCTTGTATTTTTTACTTTTCTCGATAATGTTTCATTGTTAGAGATTACAATGTTCCTTACTCTTATGCTTATGGGTGATGAATGATGAGGTCTCTGATACTTTATTGGTTCATCAACAACAGCAATAGCCGGAACTGAAACACAGAAGCAGAAATATTTACCTTCAATGGCACAATTTAAAACTATAGCTTGTTGGGTAACGATCTGTATCTTTTTGTTTTGGCATGTGTTTAGATTCCTAATATTACATCTGTTTCTGTCTCTGCTTCAAGCATGTAACTCGGTTCTTTTATTCACACATCAGGGTTTGACTGAACCTGACTATGGAAGCGATGCAAGTTCTCTGAAAACAACAGCAACAAAGGTCCAGTGCCTTAATCTCTTATACAATTATTAATCTCGTAGTGCTGATTAATGATCATCAACTTCTTGGCATTTTATGTCTGTGCTATGCCTTTTGTTTTTGGATAATCAGGTTTCAGGAGGTTGGATCTGTTGGATCATCCCATGTGAGCTCCCATTGGAGAACCCACTTTCTCCACCCAATGGAAGTGGCTCTCCCACTCTACCAACCCCACTAGAGAGTGGAAGAGGGTAGGTGGTGACCAATGAGGCTCTCCCTCATTGGTGTATAAATAGAGGTTGAGGGGAGAGTTGAAATGTACAGATAGAGAGAACCATCAGAAATTGAGTGTGAGAGCTGTGAGTTGAGTGAGTTTTATCTCCTCCTCTGTATTTGTATTTTTGCTCCATTTTAGTGATAATTCTCATTTCTGTCCGTGGATGTAGGCATTGGGCCGAACTACGTAAATATTGTGTTCTCTGTGTGTGTGAGATAATTCTCTGGGTGTGTTTGATCCTAACAGGATCCTTGAAGGTCAAAAGCGCTGGATAGGAAACAGCACTTTTGCAGATGTGTTGGTTATTTTTGCTAGGAACACAACCACAAATCAGATAAATGCGTAAGCTATCTATTTGCAGTTTTCGTGTCTGTACTATTATGGAGATATTGAAAGTGTATCATTAAGAATGAATACATGTAAAGTTCACAAATGAAAACCCCAACTACATCAACCAGATCCTGTGGATAGACCCAGGCTCTCTATGATATCAAATAATAGTCATTGTAGCACCAAAAAAGGATACATATTATAAAATATACATGGTTATCCAAACATACAACCCTGAAGATACCAAGGAAAAAAATCAAAGGAAAGTTGTGTTAATCCATTGAAGGTTGCTCAGACTGAATAGAAACTAAAGTTTCAAGGGCAAGAAACTGGTCTCTTGCATTGCCACATTCTTGCAGTTCGATATTTCAAATAATTGATAATTCAACATACTTATCTAACCTGCAATTTTTAGTTTTCTGAATGTTCAAAAATGGAGAAGGTTAAATTGATTTCCATTTGACCGTGTCCAACCCAGGCTAACAACTGCTTTCCTGAAGTTAATTAATTAGTACATAGTGTTATCATTTACATCAATGTGTGCTGCAGGGCAATCCGTTTAACAGTGCTGGATTTCACTGCATTATCTTTATATTTTTCTGGGTTTTGATGTACTTTATTCTTTTTATTGCAACACCCAGATAACATATGCTGCTTAACTGTTTGCGGGCTTCTTATATCTCTATATCTTCCTTTTTTCTTTTCCTTTTTTTTCTTTTTCTTTTAACATGGCCAGTGTTAATTCCATCTGTTCCAGATTTCTGGTAAAGAAAGACGCCCCTGGACTACAAGCTACTAAAATAGAAAATAAGATTGGCCTGCGGATTGTCCAAAATGGAGATATTCTCTTTAAGAAAGTTTTTGTTCCTGACGAGGACAAATTACCCGGTATGACTTCTTTTTGGGACACAAAAAAGGTATGGCAACAAATGGGGTTCTATTAACAGTGTTTTCATGTATCAATTCCTTAGTTATTATATTAATCTCGGTGGGATGATGCTTTGGTCAGTTATCTTGCCAGCAGTTTATACTGTGGCTAGATTGCCATCTTTGATTTTGGAGTTTCATTGTTTATCCTCTTTGATACGTGTACTTTTAAGTAGTTCTATTAGATTACCATTTATCATTGTAATTAAATTTAACTTATTCTTTATTTCATGTTCTAAGGTTACGTCTTTTTCACACTCGATTATTTCTCATATTTTTGTACTGTCAGTCCACTGACTCCTCTCCTTCCTTGAAGAGAGAGAGAGAGAACATCTGTTTGCTATAGAGGAATTTAAAAAAAAAAAAAAAAAAAAAAAAAAAAAAAAAAAAAAAAAAAATTGGAATCTTGCTATCATAAAAGGTCCTCGTGGTGCTCGCATGAGCGTCACAAAAGCAATTTTTAGCACCACCATTAGGGGCACATTGTTGTGAACCTTAAAAAAAAATAAAAAATAAAAAAAAAATAAAAAAAAAATTGTTAACATTAAATATATTTAAAAAGAAAGAAAAAAGATTGAAGGTATATTTAGTTTTTGTTGTGAACCTTAAAAAAAAAAAAAAGTGGTTGTTAACATTAAATATAAAAAATAAAAATGAGGATTAAAGTGGGTTGGGGAAAATCCATACCCATTAAAAAATAGGGAGGGTGGTACCCATGGGGAATGGGGAATGGGGAATGGGAAAAATTTATTATAAGGGAATGAGGATGGAGAATTAATATCCACCCCATTGCCCCCATTGCCATTCCTACTGCGGATTGTCCAAAATGGAGATATTCTCTTTAAGAAAGTTTTTGTTCCTGACGAGGACAAATTACCCGGTATGACTTCTTTTTGGGACACAAAAAAGGTATGGCAACAAATGGGGTTCTATTAACAGTGTTCGCATGAGCGTCACAAAAGCAATTTTTAGCACCACCATTAGGGGCACACCATTATGAGTGCTGCTTTAGTCCTTGTCAAAATAGTAAAACAAACAGTGTAATTTGCTTCTAGCATTGTTCTGCATCCCACACTTGTGCCTGTGCAACTTTCTTATTATTATTAAATTCAACTCTTGTTCCAAAGAAAAAGTGCTTTTGCTTTGCTTCTTGGAGCATTCTTCTCTTATTATTCATTCCTATTCTTCATCCTTTCACACCATTCACGTTGTTGTGAAAATGGAGTATCACACATGCAATTATTTGTGATCTACTTGAGGGTTAATGAGACAATACAGAAAACAAACCACCAAGGCCATAAGATTCTGTAATCCTTATCCATGGTGCTCCTTGGATACTGAATACTGCACAATATAATTGAAAAACATCTTACTCTACCAATTCTGAATGTTGTCTTGTACCATATGCCATGGGCTGATTTAATCTCTCACATCTGAAGGAACTGAAATCTTTGTTTCTTCTATTTTTATTTATTTATTTTGGGTGTGAACAACTATGAAAGAAGTGAGTCAGTGTTTGGTCCCTTTGTATTGTTTATTTACTCATCTACTTACTGCTATCTGAATACAGGTCTTTGCTGCTTCACGTCTCATGGTTGCTTGGCAACCTATTGGCATTTCAATGGGTGTCTACGATGTGTCACAGGTATGCTAGCATGGGGGGATGATCTCACTAATGTTCAGCTTTTCAGTTGTACTCTTTGTCCCCTTGTCAAAATCAAATTGCGAATTCAAGTAAAATTGGTGGAGAAAAAGCAAGCTATGGAGTGTTACGAGTGAAATTTCCATATAGGATGGTCCTCATCCTTAACCAAAACTCACTTATCACTTCTACTTCCAAGAATGTCAATACTTGAAGCACGAGCCCGCTTTTTTGTTGTTATTACTGATTTATATATGAACACAAAGAGAGGATATTGTTGAATAAGTGGTGAATGCTCATATTCATGACCATTCCAACTAAAAATCTGAAATTTCTAAATTTTAAACAGTAAAATTTAAAGATACAACTTTAAAGATCTGTGTAGAATAAAACTTTGGCCCATTGTTTTCTGAAAGTATGCCTAGTCCCTTGTTCAATGTGCTTGTATTTTATTTTCATGCTTCATTTTGATGACCATGCGATTTTTTTTTTTATGTAATTGACAGATACTTAAAAGAGAGGAAACAGTTTGGAGCACCATTGGCAGATTTCCAACTAACCCAACAGAAACTAGTTCAAATGTTGGGTAATATTCAAGCAATGATTCTAATTGGTTGGCGGCTTTGTAAGATGTATGAGAAGGGAACAATGACTATGGGTCATGTTAGCTTGGGGAAGGTAAGAATTTTTATTTAGTGTTGCGGTGATACTCTGCTTGATTTAGCACTGACAACAAATTTCTACCGCTGTTCAGGCTTGGATTACCTCAAAAGGAAGGGAGACTGTATCTCTTGGGCGCGAGTTACTTGGTGGCAATGGAATCTTGACTGACTTTCTCGTTGCAAAGGTTTTCAAACACTTCCTTGATTTCAAAACTTTCCCTTTAACTTGACTTGTGAAGGATTGAATTTTGATTGAATCTAGATTGTAATGTTAATGCCTCTTGACAAGTAATGAATCCTAGATTCCACGAAGATAAATAATAGGATCTTAGACACTTCTTCTAAAAAATAAATAAACTGAATAGGTTCTAAGTTCATGTGTCTATTGATATCCAATCCAAAAGTGGAATGGGATCTGAATTCATGATTTTGCCAAAAAAAAATTCCGGAAGAATGATGCAATGTATGCGGAATGTTTTAATTTTGAGAATCCTTTGCACCTGATTCTAACCATTGGATTTGGAATACTAGTCCTTCTATTCGTGAGGAGCTGGATGGGAAGAAACTGTCATGTCCAGTTCTGTAGTAGAGATCGGTTTTAGAAACTGCTATCAACTATAACTCCAAAAGAACATAATTTCTTAAACAATGTAGAGGAAGAATGAAGGGGACCCTATGAGTTCAACAATTTCTAGTTTAGAAATGAAACTTAATGGCTAACCTCTACCCATCTAGCCTTAATATATATATATATATATATTTAAACAATTAACATTGACAGTCTCTTTTCCGGTGTTTTACAGGCATTCTGTGACTTGGAGCCCATTTACACATTTGAAGGCACTTACGACATCAACACCTTGGTTACAGGCAGAGAAATCACTGGGATTGCCAGTTTCAAGCCATCTGCATCAACCCAACAGAGCCGCCTGTAATGTTGTAAAACTCTATTCTTATAGGCTGTAACAGGTTCCAGAAAGAGAAAAAATGATATTAAAATAAAAATATGTAATTTCACTTTACCTTGGATGTAAGTCTTGCTTCCTTCCAGGGGTGGAGCCAGAAACCAAATAAAGAAAACAGTTGTTTGATTACGCAATAAGATTTATGAGAAGTGGGTCCTATCAATAAAGTTTATAAAATTCTGTGTTCTGGAATTTATAATATTGGTTGAAAAATTGCATTTCAGTTGGACTGCAAAAAAAAAAAAAAAGAAGTAATTTTCATGAATTGCAAGTCTCTTGTATCGTGCAAGTCTTTTTATGTGTTTGGTGCAAATATTTCTTGTGTATGAGACTTGCTTAAAAAAAGTTTTTACATGTTGTCCAACTGAATATACTTCGAAGCAAACCAAATTTACCACTTCATTTGTTGTTGGTCTCCCAGCCTCTTTCTGCAACCCCCACATCTGAGTACACTTGCCCAGACCAACTCCATTGTTGATCTCCAAGCTTCAAGCACCATGTCCACCTCCCCGAGTCTCTCCATCCCTTAACCGTCTTGTCTTCCCTCAAGCCTTGCCAGTTCCAGCATTGGTGGCACTGCCATGCTCAGTCCCACCTCGTTCATTTGGTCTGTTCTATTAGTCAGTAACATTACGAGAGATAGTATCAATCTTACACCCAATAATTTTTCAGGGGACTTTAGGACAAATCTGATACATATATATATATAGGAAACTCATAAAATGCAGAAATTATCCACTAAAAATGAGCCAAATGCAACAAAGGCAAACCTCATTGAAGATAGCCAAACATTATTTCTCGAGTTATATACAAACAATGTTATGTTCATATATTTTCCTGGCAATCTAGAACCCCCAAGTTCTTAGTACATAGAATTAATTTACACTTACAAAAGGCCACACAAGCGAGGCCTAGAACAGAACTGCCTCCCATTAACTTTGACCAATGCCATCATCCCTGCAGCTATACCAGCACAGATTACTGAAGACATCATCAAATGCTGTGCATTTCTTCCAGCTACCCCCCCCCAAAAAAAAAAAACACAGATTAGATCAAGGTCTCGATCATTACGCAACTTGCGTGCTCGCTTAAGGCCCTGCACAAAAGACGGTCCCATTTTTAATTATATACATTATATATATAGTGCATATGTCCTCATTATACTCTGCCCTCTCTCTATCAAGAACGGGAAAAAAAAAAAAAGGCAAAAAAGGCAAAAGAAAGTAAATACTCATCAAATCAACTGCTAAATATGAAAAGAGGAAAAAAAAAATCTTTGTTATCATACACACAAAAGGCCTTCATCATCGTACATCTCTCTTGGTAAAAACAAAAAACTCTCATCATTATATCACTTTGTGTGTCAAAATAAAGTCAGCGTCAACAAAAGAAATGTTAGTTTTGTGGTTGATTCCATGTGTGTAGGTAGTAGTGTTGCATTAGCAATGGGTCAATTCTAGACAAATAAATTGTACTGTCCTTATGAATGATATGTTAGCGAAACTTAAATATAAAAATTTAATTAGTAATTTTGCATTTTAAATAGTGAAAAAAAAATTACATTGTAAAAAAATTATAAAAGGCCTCACCTAGATTTTTTTTTTAAGGTTCCAAATAAGCTTGAGTCGGCTCTGAAATTGGCAATGTATGTGGCATGTATATGTTGACTGGATACAAACCCAATAGGGCACAAATAAAACAACACAGAAAATTCTAAGGCTATTTTTGGATCTTGGATCTTGACAGGGATTTGTGGAGGGAAAAGAAAAGGGAGGGGAAATATATATATATATATATATTATGAAGCACGGATACTTCAAATAGAAAGACGTATCCGTATCGTATCCATATCGGATACCGATACTCCTCGGATACTTACGGATACGTATCAGATACTTATTTAAAGTATCGGATACTTCTTAATTAATTTTTCATTAATTTTGAAGTATCGGATACTTAGTTTTGAAGTATCGGATACTCCGACTCACATATTTTCGGATACTTCTTAATTAATTTTGAAATATCAAATGCTCCAAGTCACGTATTACTCATTTTACGAAATTAGAATTGTATTATTTCTTGCATAACATCATGATATAATATAATTGCGAGAATAACTAGAATATTTTTACAATACTTTGCTTTGTTTTTTTTTTTTTTTTTTTTTTTTTTTTTTTTTTTTTTATAAAAATAACATAGTAAGCTCAAATAATAGAATTCATCAAATTGACATATCTTCATTGTATCATGCATGTCCCCTATAACTACATAGAAGTAAGGATTAATAAGATAATATAACAATAGTAAAATTAAATATCAATAAATAAATAAGCAAATAAACTTGCATAGAATATTTTTGACTAGTGTAAAAGGAAAAAACATAGGGTCGAGTTATGGATTGTTTTGATATTATAATATCAACATATTAGACTTGATATTGAAATAAAATATTTGCAAGACTTATTGAAAATTTAAAAACTAAACTAGCTATAGGCTTAAATTAATACCTAATTCTTAAAGATTAGTATTTTGCATTATAAAGTTACTATGGCTTCTCAACATTCTTGAGCTTATGTGTAACTCATGGCTAATAATTTATTTATTTTTTATTTTTTACAAACGTATTCTAGCCGTACCGGTATCCTACTTTTTTAGGTTTTGCTGTATCGCCGTATCCGTATCGTATCTCGTATCTGTATCCATGCTTTCTAGTATATATATATATGTATAAAGAAAAAGTAGTTGACATTAAGAAACGGCATAAAAGAGTGGTAATACCTTGGTTGAATGTGACTGATGTTGCTGTCAATCCTCCAATTAACAGAGCTGATGCTACTGGAAGATACTGCGATATTTCCAGTTGATCCATATCAATATAATGCAGCATGGAATCAAAATACAACCAATAGGCCAATGAACTACCTACTATATTAGCATAGACTAATCACATCTACTAACTTGAGTAACTTCTGTAAGTTTAAGCAAGACACCTAGCATGGACCCAACTGGAAGGACTTATATATATATATATTTTTTAATTTATTTTTTGGGATCCTAAAGATTTGTGATCCACATTTCCTGGAGCTAAATGTGCTAAACAACATCAGGATTCTAACCAAATTAATTTAAAATACCTTCAATTTTTTCTTCTCATCTTTCATAGGCCCAAATCATCCGGTCTAATGAACTCCAAAAGGTCTAGACCTGAATTGGCAATCATGAATTGAACCGAACCAAACTAAACCATACCAAACTAAGCCTTAAGTCCCATCAAATGGGATCGGCTACATGAATCCTTCTTCTCCACTCGACTCTATCAACGGCCATTTGGTTAGTCAAAATTAAGGAGATTCATATCACTATTTCATATACTAGCCTACATCAATCAAGGTTTGCCCTTTCCCCTAACACTTCCATCTACTGTCACTATATCGTATCTCTTCACTACTGCCTCTATTGGTCTTCATTGTATATGACCAAACCATCTCAATCTATTCTTTCTCAACTTATTTTCTATCGCAATCATGAATTGAGATCTATGATAACAACCTAGTCAACATCTTTGAGTTATATATTCCACCAAATTGCCCATCCCATATATGTTACAATATGTCAATAACTATCTTAGGAAAATTTGGTCAAAACCCCTCCATTGGGCCCTTCTTTGGTGAAAAAGACAGCCCATAAATTTTTCCTTCATAAACCCCCTCAACTGGAGACCCATACTTGATGGAGGACACAAAAACATTTTTCTATTTTTCTTTTTGGGACAAATCTTGCCCTCTAACCTACCCAACTCTCTCTCTCTCTCTCTACGATTCCCAACTCTCTCTCTCTCTCTCATGTTATGTCTCTCTCCACCCATTGAAATTGCTTTTGAAGTTGAAACAGAGCTTTTTGAAGAAACTGATCGATTTTTCGCCGCCTCATGTTCCGATGAGAAGAGACAATTTTCGGCTTTTGATGGTACATGTATCCTTGTTGATTTATTGTTGAATAGTTTTTTATTTGAATTGTTGTTTGTTGATTATTGATGATTTGTTTGTGAATTTGTAGTGAAAGAACTTGTAGAGCTTCCTTAAGTTCATACTATGTTTTTCTGTTATTAATGCTCTGTTTAAGAAGACAATACTATTTACGTCAGTTTCGATGGTAATTTTTTTTTTATGAATTTCATAGTCAATATGGATCTTGTTTGAATATGGATCTTGTTTGATAGATCTTGATAAGAGGATACTAAAATTATTAATTTTATTAAAAACCGACTTCTAGATCAAAATTTATATTATTTTAAAGTTTTAAAATATTAAATTACTGACTAAGAATATTTTGATAATAGTAGTATGTGCTGAACTTTTTAAAGAAAACTTTTTGTGCTTGTCCTTGATGCATTAAAATTTTATTATGAGGGGACTTTGACCAAATCCTCCATTATCTTAAGAATCCAACATACTTGTCTGATGACAGTGAGACTAAAGCAACAAGGTGGTTGTCCCTCATATCACCTCCGTTAAAAGTGTAATTATTCTTTTCAAAGAAGATGGTTGAAAGTACATGAAATCCCATCCCATGAATCCCTATGTACCAAATAAAATATAAGATTTCTTAGAATATTTACTTACAGAGAATGTGTCAAAACCATTTAGCAGAAATGGGGAAGGACTGTTTCTGTTGACAGTATATCTGCCACTCATAAGATCCATAGCATCCTGAAGACGAACAAAATTCGTATGATGAGCATACATCAAAATCTATTGGCTGCCTATTTAGTAATTGAGATTATTTAATAATCAAAATGGTTATAGGAAGCTTGCCTGGCGAACACCATCTTGAAAGTTATTTAAATAATATCTTGAAATTGCACTGATCCCATCTTTTATTAGTCCTGCCATAGTCTGTTTTCCATATCTGCATTTGGGGATCACTATGCATCAGAAAAGGATAAAAATGAGTTTAGATACCGTAAAATCTGGGTTCCTGAAGATATTACCTGACAAGGTCCCGTTTTAGTGCATGGGTGCCAGAATATTCAAGGCTTATTTCATCACCTTGCTCCACCCACACTATAAGAAAATATCCAAGTTCAAAAGAAAGCAGAAAAACAATCACACAGAATTTCAGTTCTTGAAAGATAGGGGAATATAAACCTTACAAGTTTTGAAAATTGCAAAATCTTCACTGAACATAGAAATGCACTCTGTGCGAGAAAGTAC